GGGGGATTGTTGGGATGATTAGCTTTGAAAAGCTATAAATGAAATTCCTAATTAATTATCCAGTATTTTTCCATAATACATAAATAAGATGGATAATTAATAAAAGGAATATTATGGAGATAATTAGGAATAATTATCTTACTAGATTATATTTTAATTATGGGAGTAATTATCTCCCTAATTAAAATATGACTTATTCCCTAAGAAAGAGGGAATATTCTGGGTTTTCTGCTCCTATAAATAGCAGACCCCCTAGACCCTCTAAACACACCCTCAGAAGAGCAGAAACAAGAGAGAGAGTGAATTTATAGAGCTCCGGTTTTCGCACAAAACCGCAGAGCAAACTAAATTATAGTGGCTGTTTTATCCTGGAGGCGACCGGCTGATAGTCTGCTGTGCAAATAACGAGGCAGTGCCGCGAACGTCTTAAAGAGAGCGACCTAGTCCGCGACTCAGCCAGATCGGTAACCCTAGAATTTTATGTTCGATTTCTAACAAACCAAACTGAATCACTATGGAACGCAACTGACAAAAGCGATCCATAGTGAATGGCTAGTGACAGCATCGAGCCACACTGAGCGCTGACAAAAATGTCAATCTAGCCCCCAAACATCCACATAAGCTAGGTCAAAATTTTAAAGGAACATAATTTTGCGTTTTGCGTTTGGTTATCCGATCATACCGTTTTTTTATTCCACATAATTTTCTAAGATCTTCGAAATCGCAAAGAAATAGAGGCAATTTGGTTTGCCTTTATCATCAAATAACGTCATTTGCTACCCTAAACATACCATTTTCAGATTTCTTCAAAATTTGGATAAACTTAATTTTGTGCTCCACAATCTGACCGTTACAATTTTTTTTTTCATTTCTTGTTAACGACTACAAATTATACTAGAGAGAAATTTCCAAAATAGGAGATGTTTTTGGATTTAAGAGATTTTGAGAATGACTTTAGCTTTCATTTTCACATTTTCATTTACATTCGGAAAATACTTCTATAACAAAAGTTGTAGTCTTGGTAAAGTTGTGGAAAATCAAATAAATATCACTATGATTGGTTAACAGAGCGAAATGTTAAGGTCGTTGGAAATTCCTACCAAGATTAGGTAAAGATCGTGGATTTCATCGACGAATTAGAGTGGTTCACTTGTGTTGGCCGTGATCCGAGTTGTTTAGACCCTAGTTGCTTGATTTCGCTTCTATCCGGGAGATTTGGAGTGGATCGCTGCACTATCTAGTAGATTCGGTAGTGGTTCACTTGACATTAAAGCGAACTGCTCCGAAGTCTAGTATTTTTTGTGTGTGGGTCGGTGGGTGTGGGAGGGGAATTCAAAGTGATGGTGATAAAAAAAAAATTTGTATTTCAAGGTTTTTTTCTGTTTTTATTTCAATAACTACCAGAAATTTTTTATTACAATATTGATAGAACCCGGCAACCGAGCTCTATCTAGGGATTGTAGTGTGTGGATCAACTAGGGATTGATCCGGGTGAAATTGGGAGTGAAGGGGGAGAGGAGATTTGGGAGTTGATCGGAGATGAAGGAGAGGGAAGAGGGCTGGCCGCGCACAGCCAAGGAGAAGGGGAAGAAGGTTTCGGCAGAGGAGAGAGAGGGAGATTAAGCTAATAGGTTTAGGTTTAATCTTGCTTACCCATTTCTACGTAGCATCATAGTTTAAGTACTAAAACACAATTACCTATCACTACCCCAACTTATTAATCCCAACTTATCCCTAAACTAACAAATCAAACCCACATAAACAATTTTTAACAATCAAATCCAAAACACAATTACGAATAACTAAGTGTCTATCATTCCCTTCCCCTTCAAAGCAACCTTGTCCCCAAGGTTGTTAGTCTTCCACCTTGTCGTCCGTCCCTCTTGCCTCGTCTTCCGCCCCGTCCTCCCACCTTCCGACGAGCATCATCAAATTCAGACGCGCACACTTGTGTCCCATCATGAATCGTTCATCACAGTTGAAGCATTTACCTTCACGCCTCTTCTGCTCGATCTCTGCAGGGGAGAGTCGTACGAATCCCTTGGGCGGTGGCCGCACTCCACCTCTGACTGCAGCTGTCGCCGCAGGCCCCACAGCGGGTCCCCCAGCACCCGTGCCTTCCCCTGCTCTTCCTCCACCAGTTCCACTACTGTTGCCCGCCCCGCTTGGTCGCTGGTAGCGACCTATGGTGCTCCTCCAACTGGCGAGCTCCTCCTCCTTGTACCCTGCAAGTCGAAATGCAGACTTTAAGAAGTTCGGTTCAAAGACCCGGACGGCAGCAGCGATCTCAGGCTACAGGCCAGCCATACACAGGCCCACCAGCGTGTCCTCGGGCACCCCGCGACATTGATTACCCAGCTTGAAGAACTCCGCATGGTAATCCGCAACCGATCCCGTCTACTTCAACTTGGCCAGTTGTTCGGGAGCCCACCCCTCCGACTTACCGAACTGGTAACAGAGCTCCTCCTGGAACATCGGCCATGTGATTAGGGTCTCCGCCGTCCCGTATGACCTCTCCATCCATTCCCAACACAGCAATGCTTCCCCGCTTCCCCTTCTAAATAGAAGGACGCCAAATGCGACTTCCGCTCTTCCGGTATGGGATGATTTCTGAACCACCTCTCAGCTGCATATAATCATACTCCTGCATCCTCCTGACCATTGAATTTTAGAAACCCAATGGTCGGGGGTTTGCCTCGAAACACAATCCCATCAGCTCCATCGTAGGAAGGGTAATATGAACCATACATGTCGAAGCCTGGTCCTCCTCCCTGGTTGGCCTGAGGGAACTGCGACCCCCTTCCCTGCCCCCAGCTACTCGAGGCACCTCGAGCGGGCGGACCAGTCATGTTCACACCCCCATATGTTCCTGGCCAACCGGTCGGGCCCATGCTCCCCATTCCCTCGTACTGTGGTTCGACTCAATTTGGCCGACCTCCGGTTCGGTCAGCCCCATCTCGACCCGGCTCAGCCCAACCCGACGTGCCCCGACCCATTCCGGCTCGCTCGAACTCGCCCCGTCCAGACCCGGTCCAGCCTGCCGGCACCCGTAAAGGCCTGGCACATCCTGACTCGGTCGGCCCATGTTCGGTCGGCCCGAACCGATCTCCGCCATGACCCAACCCGACCCACCCGAGCCCAGCCCACCCCTCTTAATGCGACCCGGTGCGTGCGGGTCGGCCCCTATCCGGGTTCGAGCCCAAATAATCGTGTTTGAAGGTCGGGTCGGCCCACGATGCGTTCTAGCCTACTCCTGGTCCATGTTCAGCCACCCCAGCCCTTTGGGCTCTTGAGGTCGTCCCACCGGGTCAAATCGACCCATCGTGCCAGGTGGCCCATACGCAGATTGCTGGGCCCCCACGTCATAACCGGGCATCTTAGCCTTACCTTTGCGGGCCACCACCTCTTGGGCTGTCGGCGTAGGCAGAAGCTCAGGCCCTCCGCCCTGACCTAGCGTGCCGTGGTCTGCACGCTCCGGATCCGCCGCTCGATCACCCGCGACACTCTTCAGGGGCGCCGCCTGCAACTCCAAGGTCGTCGCCGCCCGATCCATCGTCGCCACCCCGCACGCCTTGGTCCCGCCACCGCCGCACTCGCCCCGGCACCGCCGCCATCGCCGTGCACCGCTCGCCCCGACACCGCCGCCAACGCCTTTCGATGGGGCTTGCCTCTCGCCGTGCAGCGCCACCAACATGACATGGAGGTCGTCGAGCCTGCGCCACACCCGCCGAGACTCCTCCAGTCACTCATGTCACTCCTCCGCGATCGTAGCCACAAGATCACTAAGGCTGGCATGTGCTTCCTCCTTCTCCGTCACGTCCTCCAGCTCACCATCCACCGGAGCGCGCGGTGAAGGAAGTGGCGGCCGACCCTATGTAGCCTTGGGCGGGGGTGGAGCCCCCGCGATCATCTCCTTGGTACCCTCCGGCAGCCTCGCGGCCGTATCAGCGGCCTGTTTGGCCAAAGCGGCCTTCTCAGCAGCGGACATGAACTTGGTGAGCACCATCTCGAATTCGACGGTATGCAGCAACCAGGTTCTGATACCAAATGATAGAACCCGGCAACCGAACTCTATCTAGTGATTGGAGTGCGTGGATCAGCTAGGGATTGATCCGGGTGAAATTGGGAGTGAAGGGGGAGAGGAGATTTGGGAGTTGATCGGAGATGAAGGAGAGGGAAGAGGGCTGGCTGCGCGCAGCCAAGGAGAAGGGGAAGAAGGTTTCGGCAGAGGAGAGGAGAGAGAGGGAGATTAGGCTAATAGGTTTAGGTTTAATCTTGCTTACCCAGTTCGGTTTAATCTTGCTTACCCAGTTCTACGTAGCATCATAGTTTAAGTACTAAAACACAATTACCTATCACTACCCCGACTTATTAATCCCAACTTATCCCTAAGCTAACAAATCAAACCCACATAAACAATTCTTAACTACCCCGACTTATTAATCCCAACTTATCCCCAAGCTAACAAATCAAACCCACATAAACTATTCTTAACAATCAAATCCAAAACACAATTACGAATAACTAAGTGTCTATCAAATATCTGGGGAATATGGATCAATGGTTGACTATTAGGCGATATCTGGGGAATATGGATCAATGGTTGACTATTGCTATCGCCTACAGCTAATAGGGAGCTTGCACATTATTTGATGTTTTGGATAGAAACAAACATGAATCAAAATGCATGACAGCAGTAAGGAACCAAGATTGATGTCACTTAGTGGACACATAATCTTGCTCCGCATTTATTCAAAAGAGCATTTTAAATCTTACACTACAGTTGGATGAAGAAGTAACTGCTGGATGGCCATGTATCATTGGAGCTACACATTGTCAAATGTGGGAATACATTAACATTTGGAAGAAGACAGCAAAAGAATACTAATAATCAGACACCAGAAGAGAAAAACTATGAAACAACCACAAATCTGCTTCCCTGTAATTCACAAGCACTAACAGCTTACAACCATGAGCATCTATGGATCGACACAATCCTTTTAGTCATCCTCACAGGCTGTAGCACTACAACCTGAACGAGAAGATTTCTCTTCTGTTTGATCAGCAAACAAGTCCGATCCATCCCCAACTGATTTTATCCTCCGCATATGTGAAACAGCTTTATCAGTATTGGGAGCCCTGGACTGTGTTCTTCCTCTGGTTACATATCTTGCACTACCAAAAATGGAACGAGAAAACCGCCTTGAGGGCCTTAGATCAGACTGATCAACCTCATGATCGCCTTCAATCATAAACCCAGACTTCCCCTCTGCACGTTCCATGAGATCTATCAAATTGCTCCGCAATCCCAAATCTGAAAACACTCTTCTTGAATCCTTCATCATTCGCATACCGAGCTTCCCATCAACTCCATCCAAGTTCTCACCTCCAATACCTTGCTGTCTCAAACCAAACTGACCATTCATCATCAGTTCAACAGGACGCCCCATCGTCTCTACCATCATACATGGATTGTTGAACCCATTCCATGAGTGAAGAGGAACCAATTTGTTCAATGTATTCAACCAATCAACAACCTCCTTCATTGATGGCCTCCTCTCCCTACAAGACCTAACACATTTGGAAGCAATCAGAGCCAACTGCCTCTTGAGCAAAGGATCCTTGAGGGGTGGGATCCTCGGATCGTAGATAAGACCAAGCTTGCCCTTCTTTACCATGGGGATTGCCCAGTCCACAATTGAAGGAGGGGAATGCCCCACATCAATAGCCTTCCTCCCACTAATAATCTCCAACAACAAAATCCCAAAACTGAAAACATCAGTCTTAGTGCTCAAATTATCTGGTGTGACATAACAAGGATCAAGATACCCCATTGTTCCAGCAGGTGGGGTTGATCTAAGCCTATCACCATCACCAACGCCACACCTAAGAGCCAGCCCAAAATCACCCAACCTAGCATTAAGATTTCTGTCAATCAACACATTAGCAGACTTGATGTCTCTGTGGATAATGGGCGGATTCTGCGAGTGCAGAGTGTCAACAGCCTTAGCAATCTGCAGGGCCATCCTAATTCTTCGACCCCAATTTGGGGGTCTGGAATTCGAGTGAAGAACATCATAAAGAGTACCATTGCACATAAACTCGACAACAAGCAATCTATGTTTAGTATCATTATTAGCAAACCCCAGCAAATTTACCAATCTTGGGCTGCGAATATTTGACAGGATCTCGATCTCGTTGTCGACTTCGTGAGCGAACTCGAGCCCTCTGGAGGGCTTCTTGACGGCGACACGGCGGCCACGCAGGACAGCCTTGTAGACGCAGCCATGGCTGCCTTTGCCCAGCAATTTCTGCTCGGAGAAGCCGTTGGTTGCCGCCTCGAGGTCGCTGTAGTGGAACTGATGGATCTTGATCGGCTTTTCCTGCTTGTTCTGAAGAGCGGCGGAAGGCTGGGAGGGGGATGGCGTGGAGACGGCAATAGCGGATTCAGCCTTACAAGAAAGGTAACCCATCAAGAAAGGGGAGAGAGATGGAGCAGAACTGAAGATGGGTAAAGTGGAAAAGAAAAGTTGAGGTGGAGGAGGTACATGAAGAAAAACGGGTAAAGGAAGGTTCTCTTTAATGGCGCGACAACGGTTCCCGGGTTTGTGGCAGACTGGCAAGACGATGGTGAGGGTGATAAATGAAAGGATGGATCATTTTTGTTTTTCACCCTTTTTACTTGGAGAGAGAGAGAGAGAATGCCCACCAAATCCGCAAAATTGATTGAAATGGAATCCCTATGTGGCTATGGCGCTATGCCAATCCTTTTTTATTTTTTTAATACGGCTTCCAGTCAACGGCGTAAAAACAATAGAATTTTCTTCTATTTTCTTCTTCCTTTCTCTAAAGTCCCCTCCCCAATTCCATTCAAACTTGCTATCGCTAAATTACACCTGGTTGTTAATTAAACCTAACCTACTCCTAATCAGAAAATCCTAAGCTAAACGCACCAACAGTCTCCCGGAGTGCATAAATGGTGTATAACTTGCATAACCAAATCTAGACATTTCTTTAAGGAGTTGCTAAAAGTCGCCCTTAAAATTGTTAAAGGTCGCCCTAAAAAGAATAAAAGTTACACTTTTAACCCCCATAGCTACTTTACCTTCCCTTCGTCAAACAAACATCACTTGGACTAAAAAAACACTCTCTAAGGAGAGAAAAATCTCTCATCGTCATTTTGAAGCCGATATCAACGGTAGGACGTCTGAATCATGAGTAGCGACTCCGACGAGGTAAAAACATGAACCGAAAAAAAACACAGAAAATGGGAACCGCGGGTGATTTGCGGTTGAGCCATTGGTGGACCGCAATTGACCTGCGGTTGGACCATGGCTGGACCGCAAATCACCTGCGGTTCAGCCATGGTCCAACCGCAGGTCAATTGCGGTCCATCAATGGATCAACCGCAGGTGATTTGCGGTCCGACCATGGTCCAACCGCAGGTCACTTGCGGTTGGGCATTTTTTGGGTTTTTTTTTTCATTGAATAATTTTCTATTTTTTATATGATTTATGATTGTTCCATGAAATAATTTGTTGGGTTTTGATTTATATAATTTATTAGATTTATTTGCATAATTATTTTTGAAATTGAAGGATTTAGCATTAGAAATTAAGATTAGATTTTTGGAATTGAAGGATTTAGCATTAGAAATTAAGATTAGATTTGGCCTTAAATTAAGATTAGATTTAATTTGGTGTTAATCTAGAAAATTAAGATTAGATTTTGCATTACAAATTAAGATTAAATTTATTGCATAAATAATAGATTCGCATATGAAGTTATGATGATTATTAAATTTGATTTATATAATTTTTTAGATTTATTTGCATAATTATTTTTGGAATTGAAGAATTTAGCATTAGAAATTAAGATTAGATTTGGCCTTAAATTAAGATTAGATTTAATTTGGTGTTAATCTAGAAAATTAAGATTAGATTTTGCATTACAAATTAAGATTAAATTTATTGCATAAATAATAGATTCGCATATGAAGTTATGATGATTATTAAATTTAATACTGATAACATTGCAGGATATTGGAAGTTACAATCCGGATGGCCATGATTACACCTCGGATTTCATTGATGGTGTGAAATACACTACGGAGTTGCAAGCATATGAAGCAGCCATTGAGATTGCAAAGGGTTTTGGGTTTTATTTGGTGAGGGCATCGAACAAAAAAAATAAGAATGAAGGTACTTGGCGACATTACTTACATTGCACTCATGGTAGGAAGAAGAAGTCGAAGGAACCTGATCCGAGTAAGGAAACGAGGCCTCTTACATCTACTGAAAAGTTGGGGTGCGAGTTTCAGATCAAGCTTGAGCGGTCAGGTGATGGATATTGGTTTATCCTAGGGGTGGCAAATACAAAGAATCCTGGTGCTAATTTGGGTTTCCACAATCATCAGTTGGAGCTATTTCCGGAGGGATCAAAGGGAATGAATGTTTTGACTACAGAGGACAAGCAATACATCAGAGAGCTGAGATCAGCCGGTGTCCCACCAAGGAATATCCACAAGGCAGTGAATGACAGAAAAGGTGCAAATGGAACACACAACATAAAGCAGATTTATAACGAGTGTCACAAGATAAGGAAAGAAGAGCTTGGTCAGATGACAGCCTTACAGTATACTTTCCGCATGGCGCAGGAGAAGGGTTACTATGCGCAGTATATGGACGATCGTAACGTGCTTACACACTTGTTCCTAGCCCACCCCGAGTCAATATTGATGTTGCGAGCTTGGCACCATGTGATCGTACATGGGCGTTGGGCCGTGCTTGGGCCGGCACGGCACGGGCACGCTTCGGGCCCATTTATTTCGTGCCGTGCTTGGCACGGCCCGTCAATTTTCGTGTCGTGCCATGCAAGCCCATTTGTTAACTTTGCTAGGCCCGGCCCAGGCCCGGGCACGGTTCGAATCGTGCCGTGCCTATTCGTGCTCGTGCCATGTTCGTATTCGTGTTTAATGAAAATGACGAAAATAAAAGAGAGAATGAAAAAGAAGGTGAAAATTGGACGGAGGAAGATAGTATTAACCGATAATGTTTGAGAAAAGTAACAAATAAGGGGGAAAAGAAAATTGGAAGTATAGCGAGTGTGATTTGGCTTTGTTTAATTCTTTGTTCATTTTTACTTATGTTAGTGATTACGTATATATCTTTATGACACTTCTAACAACAACAAATAATTATTTTTCTACTTGTGTTTTGTAATATTTGAACCTATAATTCTTTTTATATATATTTTCTATCAAATAAATATTATTTTCGTGCCATGTCCGTTCTTATACTCAATAAAGTCTCGAAAATATTAAGCCCGACACGACCCACTTATATACCGTGCCGTGCCCGTGCTCGTGCCCGTGCCCATGAAGTTTAGGCCCGGCACGGCCCATAAATTATTCGTGCTCGTGCCGGGCTGGCCCATTTATTTCGTGTCCGTGCTCGTGCCGTGCTCTAACCGTGCCGTGTCGTGCTAGTCCGTGGGCGGCACGGCCCGGTGCCCACGTACACATGTGATCGTGATAGATGCAACATACAAGACCAATAAGTATGATATGCCTTGGGTTGAGATTGTCGGCATGACACCAGTGGGATTGAACTTTGTCATTGCATCTGCAATAGTGTACGACGAGACGAAGGAGTCGTACCAGTGGCTTCTGACGCATTTGCAACATCTTCTTGGCCCCATTGTTCCAGATGTGTTTGTCAGTGACAAGGCAGGAGGATTGGTTGAGACCGTGGGGGTAATGTTTCCATCATCGACTCATATATTATGTCTTTGGCATATGGATAGGAATGTGAGAGCAAAGTGTCTAACGGAGGTGCGAAGGACGACTCATTGTGGTATAGATGCAGCCAAACCGACAGTGGATCATATCATGGCGTCTTGGCAACGTGCTGTATATGCATTGACAGTGGAAGACATGGATACTGCCTTAGAGAATTTCAGACGTAGTTGGGGAGTACAGTACCGACGTCTTTGGGGGTATATGACAGCTGAGTGGTTACCAGTTAGACACATGTGGGCTAAATGTTATACCAATCAACTGCGGCATTTGGGTAACACAAGCTCTAATAGGGTTGAAGCTGCCCATTCCTCCTTCAAGAAGTGGCTTCAATCATCTACTGGCGCAGTCGACACGGTTAGTAATCTAATAAATCTTCATTGATACACACATAAGTTTTAGTAGTCTCCTAATTGTTCTTCATTGTTTGTAGGTATACAAGAAGAACGATGATTACATTGAGGCTCAACACCTTCAAATCAGGATCCTCATCTCCCATCAGCTGTCCGTCAACCGGTATCCGAAGAATGTGATGCACATCGTGTAGAAGGATCGAAATCTCTCCAAACGGCATGTGGAAGGTGTTTGTGTCCGGCTGCCACCTCTCCACAAGTGCCGACAGTAGAGCCATGTCTAAATGCTGCATCATGCACCCTGTCAAGTGAGACAATCCTGTGGCTTCAACCATCTCCTTGGAACCCTCTGCACTCCACTTATATCGCCTCAAAGTCTCTACAGCTCTCGGCCTATGGAAGCCGTCCAACACTCCACGGTCCTGCTCAGGGGAATTCCACAGTACCAAACCAATGTGACCTCCAAAGCTAGGGATCACATCGGGAATCACTGGTCCACCTGAACACATCGGAGACTCGGCTGTAAGAAACCACGACATATCTTTTCTCATGGTCTTCCTCTTCCTATTTCCATCTCCGCCATCCTCGCTACTAGGTCTGGACGCATAGCGTCCATCGGGCCCACGGAAGTGGGAGGAGGCAGTAGAAGATACCCCGACCCGTGCCGTCTTCCCCACGCCTAAATCAGCTTGAGTTGGGGCATCCCCAGCCTCAGCATCACCAGCACGATCACCATCATCATCAACAGCAGCATCACCAGCATCATCACCAGCATCTGGGGCATTCCCAACCTCAGCATCACCGTCATCATCATCATCCTCGTCAATGGAATCACTCCAATTAGCCTGCCATACCTGTGCGGTCTCTGGTGTAGAAGTACTGGTAGTACCTCGACTAAGAGACAACTGCCCCACAGTAGGGTGGCCGTCAGGACGCACTACATCCACCTTCTTCTTCTTCCTTCTAACCTTAGGTGGATTTTTTTCTTCATTTTCCTTCCTACCAGTCGCCGTAAGTCTACAAGCACTACCTTCCATTCTCTCCTTATTTCTCGCCTTAATCATATCCGGTTAACCCATTCCATGTCCAGACATCTTCAAAAAAAAGTTTGAATTAATAATAATGGAGTACATAAGGTAATTAATTTAAGATTTTCATAATTAAAATTATAAAACTAATAGTTTTAACATTTATGTTACGTTCTATGTAATAATTATTTACTTTTTAATCAAGGTAAAATTATTAATAATTAGGTAGATAAACGAATTACTTTGAAATTTTGATTATTAAAATGATAAAAACACATTTTTAATTTTTTATAATGTTCTTTAAATTTGTTATCTTTAATTAAGAACTATCGAATACGATTTTAAATTTTTTTATATCATATAACTATATTATATCTAAATTAACATTTATCGAATACGTTATTATTAATTATCATTATAACTAAATTAATATTTATAAATAATATAACTAAATTCTTTTTAATAAGTATATTTTTTTAATTTTTTTTATTATTATTAACATTTATTTAACGAATAATAAAAATACAGAAATTAAAAAACAGAATTAAAAAAAAAGGCCCGACCGCGGTCAACGTGCGGTTGACCGTGGTCGGGCCACGGTCGAATCGCGACTTGCTCTCGTTACCTTCTCCGGGGACGACGCGAGCGGCGACGGCGACGGGCGGGGACGACGCGAGCGGGAGCGGCGAGATCTTTCGGCGGCGGCGACTGGACGCGGGCGGCGAGAGAGGAGTCGCGCGGCGGCGAGAGAGGAGTCGGTTCAGCCTTCTTCTCCGGCGGCGGCGGGAGATTGCAGAGGGCAGAGGTGGGTGGCGAGATGATCGGCGGCGAGGGGGTTGCCGGTTCAACCTTCTTCTCCGGCGGCGGGAGATTGCGGCGGCCAGAGGGTGGGTGGCGGGAGATTGCGGCGGCCAGACTTCTTCTCCGGCGGCGGCTGGTATTTGCAGAGGGCGGAGGTGGGTGGAAGGGTGGAAGGGAAGGAGGGTGAAGGGTTGAGGGCTGTTTGGTTGCTCAAAGTTTTAAATTTTCAATAGGGGTATATAGGTAATTAGACTTTTAACTTAGGGCGACGTTTAGCAATTCTTAGGGCGACATTTAGCGATTCAGTTTCTTTAAAGTGGGTTCTGGATCCAAGTATTGTGAATTAAAAGTATTTTTATTTTTTCTAATTTTCTTAATCAAATCTTATCTTCTTCGTTTTAACTAGGATTTCAAAAAATTTTGCACAGCTGGAACGAGTTCGTTGTGATCTACAAAATTATATGCACTTTCAATATTTTTTGAGAAAAAAATTGCATACCTCTCGATACTAACTCCATACCATATACTCACACCTTCGTTTTTACGTCATTTTTTAATAGGGTTAAAGACACATTTGGTCACTGAGATTACAAAATCAGGACATGTTTAGTCACTAGAAAAAGTTAATATCAAATTTGGTCACTACAATTACTAAAACTGGACACATTTAGACACTCGTCGTTAGTCTCCGTCCAACTCCGTTAATGAAGTCCGTTAAGTGCTGATGTGGCAAACAGAATTGCCTAATCAGCCGGATATAACCCAACAAAAATAAAACCCGACCCTCCACGTTATTATAACCCGCCACATCATTAAAACCAACCCAACCCAACTCATGACCCAACCCCACCCAACCCTTCTTCCTCCTTCCTCCCACCTCCTTCTTTCCCCAAAACCACCGCCGCCGCCGCTCTCCTCCTTCCTCCCACCTCTTCCCGCAAACCTGTTCGACCTAACCCAGCAGACCAATCCTTCACCATCCCTCACCAAATCTGTTCGTCTCCTCTGATACATTTCTTCCCCCAAATCCCAACCCACCCAGAAAACCAAAAAACCCACTTTCGCACTTCTTTCCTCTCAGCCGAAATGTAACTCACGGCAAAGACACCCAACCCCTCCCATTCAAGGTTCTTTTGGAATAGGAATCCGGACACCGACGGCAGCCTCAGCCGCGAATGTCGCAGCGCGAAAGAACGGTCGCGGATGAGATCCCTCCAACTTTTGGAAACGCATTTCATCCGAAGCAAATCATTAGTCTGCAGCTTTGATAGCACCAATTCGAGAATGTCGGGTTGAGGAGCCTGAGTTTCTCCATTCCTTCGCCCATAGCTGTAGGGAGAAAATAAAAATGACATGATTGAACGAAGATGAGATTGTAGTTTCAGATTGTTGTGGAGAGAAGTGGGAAAGGGGTTTTTTTGGTTTTCTGGGTGGGTTGGGATTTGGGGGAAGAAATGTATCAGAGGAGACGAACAGATTTGGTGAGGGATGGTGAAGGATTGGTCTGCTGGGTTAGGTCGAACAGGTTTGCGGGAGGAGGTGGGACGAAGGAGGAGAGCGGCGGGAGCCGTGGTTTTGGGGAAAGAAGGAGGTGGGAGGTGCCGAGGTGGGAGGAAGGAGGAAGAAGGGTTGGGTGGGGTTGGGTTGGTTTTAATGACGTGGCGGGTTATAATGACGTGGTGGGTCGGGTTTTATTTTTGTTGGGTTATATCCGGCTGATTAGGCAATTCTGTTTGCCACATCAGCACTTAACGGACTTCATTAACGGAGTTGGACGGAGACTAACGGCGAGTGACTAAATGTGTCCAGTTTTAGTAATTGTAGTGACCAAATTTGATATTAACTTTTTTCAGTGACTAAACATGTCCCGATTTTGTAATCTCAGTGGCCAAATGTGTCTTTAACCCTTTTTTAATATATTTGCACATAAGGAACGAGTTCATCATGATCTATTGGATCTATAAATTACTAGAGAAAAACATACATTAACAAAAGATACTACCCTGGTATAGGGTGATAATTGGTGGTAAAATAATGTTGAATGTAGTAAATGACAGTTAGTATATTCCTAATATTATGTATTCAATCATCCTACAGTCCTGTATGTTCGTACCACCATGGTACACTTTCATACCATATGAAATGCTCTTATTTAATACCAATCAATACCATATGGTAGCGCTGATGTAGTGCATGCTGGTTAGGTTATGCATTGTTACTCAACATAGAGTTACTCACCTGATCCACTCCGCTCCACCGATATTCCCCTTCATCTTTTTCTTTTAAACCAACACGACAATGCTAATAGGGCTGGTATTGAAAGTATAATATTGATGTAGTTGCTTTTGCTAGTGCGAAAGTGGTTAAATATCATAAATAGACATCTTCTAACAACTTGAGTTATTCGGACCGGTTGATTTATGACACATGGTATCAGAGCATTATGATCCAGAAAAATCAACAACAAGATGAGCGAGGAGGATTCTGGTAGCTTCATGCGCGATACAATGCTTGTCAACGTAGAGGGAATTTCAATCTCCCTTTGGTTTATCATCTCCATAATTCAGATGGGACTAGGCAGATGTTTGTTAGCGACATCCCTTCCTCTTCAAATTATGGTGAGTGTGTAATTGATATAAGAACTCACTCGTCGCAAAAAAGAGTTGGCATTCATTCACGGGACGCTAGTCAAGCCGGTGGCTAGAGAACAAAGAAATGCTTGGATTCATTATGATGCTATGATTAAAGAGTGGCTAAAAACAACCATGAATAAAGAGATTCGTAGTAGTGTAAGATTCACGGAAAACTTCAAAGGAGATTTGGGAAGATTTTCGAAGTTGCTTTAGGCAATTCAACGCGTCTCACTCCTATGAACTTTGTCGATTAATTAGTCTTCTTCAGCAAGAGAAGAACACAGTTTTAAGTTTTTATACAAAGCTGAGGTCTCTATGGGAGGAGGAGTCAACTGATATTTTTTACCCAATCCAAGTTGTACATGTTGGAACTGTACTTGCGACGTTTCTCGTCATATCCGAGAGTAACAGGAGAGCTTACACCTCTTTAATTTTTAATGGGCCTAGAAACCTATACTACGCTAGGTGAGACTTAATATAACCTTAAATGAAGAACAACATCGGTTTGTTTCTCAAAACTGCAAGCCTTTGTCGGAAGCAGCTGCCTTTGCCGCGTTCAGACCATGAAAGTCAGCGTGGAAACAAGGAGAGGGGGATATGCAGTAATTGTCAAAGGGGACATCATCGTTCAGTTGGTGAATGTGGTTCCCGTGAGCGTGGTAGGGAGCTATGCGCTGCTCAAGTCGAGCAAAATAAGAAGGATGTTGGTGACTTCACCTTGACGCAGCTTAAGCAACTCAAAACAGTGAGAGGTGCTCATTATTTTCTTACTGTAGTGGATGACTACAGTTGTGACATTTGGCTTTATCTATTTTGTTTTAAATCTAGGGTAAA